GACCTGGCCAAAGTGCAGCGTGCCGTCTGCATGCTGAGCAACACCACAGCCATTGCTGAGGCCTGGGCCCGCCTGGACCCTAAGTTTGACCTGATGTATGCCAAGCGTGCCTTTGTCCACTGGTACGTTGGGGAAGGGATGGAGGAAGGAGAATTCTCAGAGGCTCGGGAGGATATGGCTGCTCTGGAGAAGGATTATGAAGAGGTAGGGGCAGACAGTGCTGATGGGGAAGATGAGGGAGAAGAATACTGATTCTGTATTGGGCTAATTTTTCCATTCATCACCCCTGCCTTCTTCTGGATTCTTATGACTGTCCATTGTGTGAAAGCTTATTAAAAGCCCTTTTCAGCTGAAAGCAGTCTTGTTTCTTTCTTCAGAGAACAAACTCTGCCCTTTCCAATGTTCTAGTGTCAGCTGGGAGCATGTTTGTTAAATGAATAAATGGTACGGTCTAGCTGTTAGCTTGGCAAAGCTTGAATGATTATGCATCAGGGAACATTAAAAATGTACAGTCAAGTGAAGAGTACAAGTGTAGTGACCCAGGCATTTTGAGTACCTGAACCCTCACTGCAAAAACCCAGTTTTCCCCAAATACCATTCTGAACATAGATTTATGATTCCCCTTGAGGTAAAATTCTGGAGGGGAAGAATTTAGGAATTGCTTGTGCTGCTTTAATTACATGAGGGAAGGTGGAGATCTGCAGTGGGAGGAGCTGTCCTTTGTAAGGACTGGCCGAAGGTCCTTTATCTCTCGAGGCAGGAGGAAGAATAATGGCTTTCTTTTCTTCACTTTTTCCCCCTTAGCATAGTTTACTTCCATGGATTCTCCTGAGAAGAAAATTCACTGTGCTAATTCCTTCATATGTTGAGATGTGAGAATGCTCTAGATTCTGTAGATTAGGGTACACAATCTTTTGGACTGCTACTAGTGACTTGGGGATGAAATGAATGCACATACCTATATACATGCGTTATGTAAATGTTCAGCTCAGTAATCAAGATGAATCTGAAATTGGCAGGGAGATGAGGGTAAAGCTCCTGCTTAATTTTGATTTATTGCGGTTGCAATTGCTCCGAGTTTTCTGGAGCAGTCTCTGCAAAGCCTTAGCATCTTAGTATTCTCGGTGGAGAAACCAAAGTGTCACTGGACCTTCTAAGGCTGTATTTCCTTCAAGACCTGACCAGAGAGTGTGTCTGGTACAGAAGCTTGAGCATTAGATGCTCTGGTTATGCATAGAAAGATCTTCCTGATTGGTGTACCTTACTGGAAGGGGCTTTTTTAAGAAATTAGCAGCAGCTGCTTTGTAAATCAGGTGGTGGGAAGTGTTGTAGGAACGTGCTGTAAGACCAAAAATCCTGTGTTGCCCATGGAAAGAAGAAAATCAAAATTTTTAAAAGTTGGGATGCTTATACCTAATTATCAAAGAGTCACAGAACTGGAAGATAAAAGTTCTTGTGTTTTCCTGGTGGCCATTTGTCACCTTTTCCATTGCTTGAGCATCTCATCCTTGATCATAGAACCTTTGTGTTGTTCCATCTGTGCATGTATGAAGAAGCAAACAGCAAGGACTGTAAATGCAATAGAAAGGAGAAAGTTATGTGTTGTGCCCAGTACAAACTCAAAAAAAAAAAAAAGTCATAGGATAGGAGGAGGGAAGAATGTCACTTTGCTTGAAAGTAGCTGATGTACGTGTTTCAGTCTGCACCACTGATGACTTGGGCCTATATTTCCATAATAAAATATTTATGCAAATTACACACCATAATAAGGCATTTATGCACAACTCCCAGTTGTGCATGCAACTGTAGAAGCTATGCTGGAAAAACAATATGTATTTGCATGGTTAAAAGGAGACACATTAATAACAGTTGGAATAAAGAGGAAGAACTGAGTTCAGTGCCAAAAGGCTATGTAGGCAATAGATAAAGCAGAAAAAAGGATATTAATAGACATGGAATGTACAAACTTTTTGTACAATGATCCAGATACTAATTTTTACAAATATCTAAATACGTATCTTGAAAAAACAGTGCCTCTCTTTCAAACCTTACGTTTTGAGTTTTTCAGTAGCTTGCTCCAAGGACAAGCTTTTTTATGCTGTTCTAAAGGAATCCTACAGTTTATGACTTCTGTGAATGAACCATTATGGAAGGCCTGTAGAACCCCTACTGTTCAGACGCATGCTTTATGCTTGCCTTGGTCAGTAACTTCTAGCCTGTTCTTGAAGAGCTTTTTCTAGGCTAACAAGAAAGAGGGAAAGGTGCCATAAAGGTGAATGGGTAACAACAAGGCAGTTTTCTTGACAGGAGCACAGAAGTGGTTTGTCTTAGCCATCTTCTGGAATATTTTTTGTAGGGTGGATGTAGGTTTTCCGCTGTAGCCTACAGCCTTGGGGTTTCCGTCTGGCATAGTCTCCCATCCAAGCCCTAACCAGGGCCTGATCCTGTTTTGCTTCTGAATCTAGACACGGTTGGTTGGAAACAGCAGGGTAAGTGCTGTTTACTCATACTGCTAAATCAGCCCATGCGAAATTGCTTTCTGGGTGCCAGAATAGTTAAAGAAAATGAATGTGCAAGGAAGACATTATGTTAATGACTGCTGCTGTGACTTTCAGCTACACTGCACTCACTTTTGCATAAATCTGAAGCCAAAAGAGGCCACGTGGTCCACCTGTGGGAAAAAGATGCTTCTTGGCTGGTTAGCTGAAATCTGTAAGGACCAGCTCCCATTCTTTTGCTTAGTCTATCTTACTGGAGTGCCTGCCTGAATCCTTATAACTCAGGCTCTGCTAGCACTAGTGACACAACTGGGATGAGCAATTTTTTTTGGTGGCCATATTTAACACATCTGGGGAGAGGAGAGCTGCAGTGGATAGGATGACGATAGAGAGGGGCACGAAATATCACTTACAGACGCGTTGGGTTTTTTTTGTTTTGTTTTCCCCTTGAGACTTGGGGAAAATATTTAGAAGTTCAGTGGATTTGTTTTCTGTAATTATTAAGCATTTCCTGCCTCAAAATGGCAATAAACTATGCCTCTGATTTGTGGCAGTTCTGGTCAGAAGGGGCTGCAAAAGGGGGTTGGGTGAGAGCAACATACAGCCCTGAAGCTGCAGGATGCCCAAAATTAAAAAGTTAGGTACTAACATTTTCTCCAGATCTCTTGAAGAACGAGAGGGAAGGAAATATCCAGCAATATACAGGAAGTTTGGCTTCAGTTCGATTAAAATCTAGTGAATGAACTCTTGCGTGCACAAAGTAGAGCCCTGTTTTTCAACCTTGGCAACTTTTAAGATGTGTGGACTTCAACCTGTGGAATTCCCGGAGTTGAAGTCCACACACCTTCAAGGGGCCAAGGTTGAAAAACCCTGAAGGAGAAGCGTTCGTAATACAACCAGATACAAAGGGCCAAACGTGTTGGGAATGTCACTCATCTGTCTGGGCTACATCGGGCTAATGCCAAGGACACCTTCGTGGTTGCTGGCAGCGCCGAGCTCTTCTCGTAAGACCTCGCCACCCCATCCTGCTTTCTTGACTAAACCTTGATCGAGCAGCCCGCAACCCCAGTCACGTTTACCTTCGAGTGAGCAATGTGGCGTATTCCTGAGAGATACGGGGCCGAGCTACCGGGGAAAAAGGCCGCTTGTGTACTTTAGCCCCCATATTTAAAGGGCCAAATCCTTGCCCCGACCCCAGTCCAAAGGAGTAGGTGCTTGCACAGACCAGCTTCAGTGCAATGAATTCAGCATTTACAGCAACTCCAGCCTTTCTATGCTGATTCCCCCCTCCAATTTCTCTAGGCAGAAAAGAGGGTTTCCGTGAAGCTGCGTGGCTGAAAAAGCTCGCTCTCACGGTGTTTAAATGCAGGGTTCAGGAGGCGCAAGTGCCTCTCCCGCAAGCTTGTCTCTCATTCCCCTTTTGGTACGTACTGGATGAAGGTCACGTCCTCCAATCCAGCAATCAAGATCCCGCGTTAGCAAGCCGCGGCAGCCGGAATGAGAAAAGCCTATCCAAAAAATACATACTGGACAGTATAAGGCGCCCGCTTGTTGGGGGCACAAGGGCGCCCTCTAGCGCCTTGCTTAAAGTGAGCGCGGGGGGGGCAGAATCAGGAGGAAGGATGCTTTTCGGATCCAGCCGGCGCCGGAGCTGGTATTAAGCACTTGAATGTGTAACCCTGCGGTGGAGGAACGAGGCGGCGTGGAGAATCGCCGAAGTCGGATCTCCCCCAGTCCAGACCTCCGGCAGATCTACAGCCTCTGGCGATGCGCCGCTGGCGAGGGCAGAACGGCCCAGCCAGCAGGCATCGATCCGGCCGCCCGAGCGCCGCTGGTGGTTTCGAGGCTGGCGCCAGCCGCCCCACAACTCTTGAGCAGGGACCGATTCTTCCGGGGGAGGCGTGGCTGGAGCGGGTTGCAGGCGATCCCTGGGGGCGGAAGATCACCTGGTTTCCAAAGGACTTGTAGTAGGAAAGAGTTGCTTAAAAAGTGTCCGAATGTCACTTTTGCCGTGAATCCACTAGATGCCTCCTCGGGCAAAGCACTTTGTAACTTTAATGGGATATGGGGATAATGTGGCTTCTGCTTTAGGGTTGTTAAGGATCTGAAATACCGGAAAGGACTACATCAAGGTTGAAATTTGAAAGATGCCAAGTACAGGGAGGCCCACAGTGATTAATGAAGGGAAAAGCATTCTGTTCATGCTCTGAAGCAACATCTTTTTAATGGCTTCCTGTTGTCTCAGACCGTACTCTGCAGTTCAGAGGTTTTGTAGCTCATTCTTGACCTGGAGGACAAAGGAGCTTAAAGTTCACAGGCATAAACCATCCATCTGCCCTGCAAGATTTAAATGCGGGCTGGGTTAAAGATAAAGTTGCCTTCAAGTTGAGCTGTACTCATGATAATCTCATAGACAAATCCATGTAGTTTTCTCTGGAACAGCACAGAAGTGCTATGTCATGGACTTTCAGAGGCTTTGATCCTCCAGCCTGGCCTTCAGCCCTGGAGTTTCCTGAGCATCCCAATAGTAACCCTGTCCTATATACAGCTACTGTATATAAACAGGGAGCAAATGCCACCCTCCCTTGCACTGATGATGCTACCTAGTCAGGTAATGAAACTTCAAGCAAACAACCAAGCTCAGAGAGCACCAAAGACTCCGCAGTTCATCCCTGAGCTACAGATGTTCTTTTCTATCGAAACCTGTCCTTGCTTAGCTTTTCAAGATCGTCTTAGCTGGGCAACACAAGGATTACAGTCTGATGCCCAATCTGATGCCCTGTTTCTTGGGCTGCAATTCTCACCATCCCCAATAACATTACCTACCTGAGAGTTGTAGTCCAATACACCTAAAGGA